CCGGCCCCGCTGCTTCACCCTGACCCGAGTGAACGTGGGGCACTGGGGGAAAACGCACTTGCAATTCGGAGGGCCGAAAAGTCCTGGAAAACCGCCCAAAAGCGGCTCGTCAGGATCTGGGGGGACGGGGCCTCCAGTCCCACGAGTCTGATGGATACGACGATAGACGCGCCGAAACGTCTCCTCTTCGAATACGCTCTTTAGATTCCCGCTCCGATTTAAACAGATATTTCTTTACCAGCTAAGGTGCTTTTCCAAGGTAGCCCCCGGCGTAAAGGCGCAAAATGAAGAGAAAGGGAGTAGATGAGCCTTTTGAAATGCTGGTGACCACTGAAAGCGCGAGGAAAGTGCTGTTTCCCGCTAGGTTAGGCAAGCATTAAGTTCTTGTTATTGAGCGTCACTGTTCTGTGCTAGCGACGGTGATGGGAGGTGGGAGAAGTGTTGTTCTTCACCACAGTGCGATCACGTTGCTTTCTTTAAGGTTAGTTTTGCTCTTCTAGCCCCTACCTTTGTTTCTAGGGAGCTAAGCTTACAGAACCGAAAGCAAAATGTTAAAAGCAGATACACGCGTCCCACTCCAAGTGTAACAGCTTGATTATCTCACCACTTGTTTAAAATCCTTTATCTGAGTTCATTTAGATGCGAGCCAGTCCCTAGGTTTGGAAGGTAAGTGCTCGCAGCTGTAAAACCCGAAGCAACCCAAGAATCAGGCTGCCTGTTGCTTGTGTCCTCACCCCCTTGCACATGCATGCGTGTTTTGAGTCCCCTTTCCCTCTTTATTTCAAACTTCACTTGCGCTATCACTCAAATTCAAAGACACGGAGGTCCCACGAGGGCGGTTTTTACTTTGCTATTCAAATCGTTTCCTTAGTCACGTAACATAATTATGGCTGCTGCAGATGATACAGTATGCCTATTCTGCGTTTATTTTATCAAGTTCCTAGTACCTAGCGCATCGCTTGCTGCAGAGATCGTGCATAATACATTCAGACCTTGTTGATCTCGAAGGCAGACTTGTTGACAAGGTGCTCTTTCCCAGTTTCTCCTTTCTCTGTCTGCTTCCAGCTTTGTGGAGATCCGACGCCTGACATCTCTTTCATCATTAATTATGCCTTAAATGCTTGTAGAGCGTTTTACCAGTTTTTCGGGCATAACCGTTACACCAGCCTGAGTTCCCGAATTGGTGGCAGGGTTAAAAACATGCACAAAACAAATTTGTTTTGTATTTATCTCTGGAGGGGGGTAATTGTCACAGGTGGGCGCAGGCCACCTGCTATGAACCCAAAATGCAAAAAGTACCTTTGGGCCAAGAACGTGGTGGTTTGGCTCCTGAATGCCTATGGTATATTTATTAGCCAAGATGAAGTGTAGACATCTGCTTTGGAACTAGTCACCTGCTCTCCTTTAGAGCAAAACAGGCGCTTCTAGGGTGCGTTTCATCTCCTCTTAAGGTAAATGCCTTAAATAGGACGAGTGAGTCATGGTCTGGAAGCGTTGGTTTCTCTCCATTGACAACAGAGCGCGTCTGGATGACTACCTCAAAAGAGCTTGTGTTTAGACAAATGAAAGTTGCTCTAGAGTCTTATTTTGCCTGCTTCTGGCTTCCGAGAGTTAATTAACTATGTAAAAAAGGCTTGAATCTTCCTCTTATCTTGTAGAAATCGTAATAGATTAAAAAACAGTAGGTATGTTGCAGTTTTTATGGAAGTTCTACATGCATTTTTTTGGTATTCATAAGGTTATAAATTCATGGTGTTTTTTCTAGTTCTTGCACATCCAGATTTTTACAAGTTACTTCAGATGTAGCGAAATCGGTCTCTGTGTCCCCTCTCTATAATTTATTACACTTGCTTTACATGTTGAGGAATATTCCAAAGAATTGTACAATTCCATCTGAACTCATTTTTGGGAGACTGCATCCTTTGCAGTCCAGCAAATTAGACCCTTGTGTAGCATGTGATTTGTAGATGTAATTGAAGTACTTAGTGATTCTAGCAGAAGACAAGCTTTGTTCTCACCCGGTAAAGTCTTTGTTGAAATCAGCGGGAGAACTTAAACCAACTCTGTGGAATTCCTCCTTTCAGAAATAATTTCCTGCTGTTCGTCCTGGGCCCCAGCTTTTTCTTTTTCTTTTTTTTTTTCCCCCTCCTGTGGGTGTTAAACTGCAGCTCTCAGCGTTTCAAATACGCTGAACAAAGTAAACCTCTGCCGTTGCTCCGTGTTCTCTCGATACGTGCTGTGCTTGCACAAGTGCACCAAGTAAAATTTTTCCCATGCTCTTCCCCTGGTTTGGCCGGCCTTGGGAGCGTTCTCGGGAGGATCCCTCGGGGACCAGGACGCGGGGCACTCAACTCTGCAAAATCTGTTGCTCGGGCCCGCTTGGTGCCTCTGAATACCTGAGAGCCTTTGCGGTACTTCCGCCGAGCTGTTGTTTTCCTGTTCTGTGCTTTATTTTGCTGTTTGTTTCCCAAGCGATGGTGACAGTGTTTTGCTGTGTGAGGTTTTTGCTCTTGGGAATGCGTTGCCCTGCTGCAAGGGTGACACATACCTTCTCTGCTCCTTTGTACCGATTTGTTAATACCAGAGTGTTTTATCTAGCATTGTTTTACGTTTCAGTTCCAAAGGTAGATGTTCAACTTTTATCAGCACCCTCTTGAATTGCGTTGAGTGCTTGATGAGAGAAAGTTTGAGGCCCTTGCTTAACCCAGATTTCTTCGTTCCTATAAAAGAAAATTATAGTCATGACAATACCTGTATTAATACACCATGCCCTTTGTATTTGTAAGCGAAACGCCGAAGTATATGCATGCGATTGAAAGCAGGGCAGCTTTTATTATACGTAATCTGGAGATACGGCCTGTGAAGAGCCCGTGTTCCACCAAACAAAGCATTCGGGCTGTTTTCACTAAGGTACAGCGCTGCCTGTTGGACCACGTAACCTCCATCAACGTATGCGTTAGAGATGAGGCTGCGTTGTGGCATGCTAGGCTATTTTTGCCTTCTGTGTTTCTTATACCCAAGGCTCTTCATCAAAGAAGAGACCAGTCGCTTAAAATCAAAGGAGACTAGCTCACTCACAAAAAAAAATTCTGCTGTGGATTTTGATTTTTTTGCGATCGCGTGCGCTCGAGAGCGTGGGGACTGGTTCTAATTTTGGCGCTGCGACTGGCTGCTGCGTGAGCGACCGAATGACCTGCCCAGAGAACGAGCGTTCCCTCTCTGGCTTTGTTTCTCTTCCTGCTTTTGTCTGACCGCCAGTGTGCGTTCAGCGTGCATTTGGACGCTTGTGCCCGTCAGAACTGGGGGGGCCTGCCGTCGCTCAAAGTGATCGTGATACCCGTTTGCTCAGCGCTCCCTTTTCATGTGAGCAGGAGGTGAATTCTCTGCGCTCAAGGAGCGAGCTTTAAAACTCAACTGGGAATTTGAAGTCGGGAGGCTCTTGGGTGGTTGCGGGGACCTGCCTACGCGCTGCAGTTCGTAGGTCAGAGGCTTCCGTGCCCTTTAGCTTGTCCATCTCGGCTTGACCCTCCCCTCCCTACGTGCCCCCCAGGTAGCTGAAAGCCTGCGGCCCGGCCTGCTCCCGCTGGAAAGCGAAGCTGAAGAGGGTATGACTCAGCCTAGAAATGCAAACAGTTTTTGAAGGGGAAGAATTTTGTAATAAGGTTCCAATTTGAAAATCTGTTTGTTCTGTTTAGCTGCGCGCAGCTCCTGTTTTGCTGGCCGTCTGGTGCTGTGGTCTCCGTGCGAGCGGTT